GAGACGCGCGGTGCTGGACGTGTGGCGCCGCAGATAAACTCCCATCCAGTACGACACCGAGGTGCTCGGACTGCTGGCGGGTGGAGAGCTGCTGGCCCGACAGGCTCCATCTTGGCACTTCGGATAGAAGCTCGGCGCCGAAGACCATGCAGTGGCTTTTGGTGCGGACGGGCTCCGGGTGGACGAACTCCAGCCTCCAGGTCTTCGCAAAGTCATCAACCACATCTAGTAGAGTGCTGAGGTTTCTGGCATTGGTGGACAGGAGTAGCAGATCATCGGCATAGCAGACAGCTGGCACGTGGTGACCATATAGGTCAGCACCGAGATCGCTTACGTCCAAGGCGGCTACGAGCGGGTGTAGGTAGGCGTTGGCTAGGATAGGCGAGAGAATAGCACCTTGCCTGGTGCCCCGGCGGATCCTGAATGAGTCGGATATGGCACCGTCAAAGGCAATGTGAGCCTGAAGTCGGCGGTACCAGGCAAGCATGAGCAGCCATGAGTTCGGACGAAGGTGTTGCGCCAGACGGTGGAATAGCCCGTCATGCCAGATCTTATCAAAACACTTCCTGGCGTCCAAGTTTGCCGCGTAAACTGGCAGATCTCGTTGTCGGCACCACTGAATGGTCTCGAGGGCCAATATGGATGCTTCGCTGGTGCCTCGCTGTTTCACGAATCCCAGCTGAAGGTCGTGCGGACAGAAACTGGCCTCAAGTTCATCCAGCAACAGCATCTCCAGCAGCTTCGACGTGCACGATGTCAGGCTAATAGGCCGGTAGTTGTCCAGATTGTTTGGATCAAGCTGGGATTTCTTCAGAAGAGGCACTACCACGCTCTCTGCAAATGTGGCCGGCACATTGCACGAAGACAAACAGGCCGATAGAAGCTGGGCCAGTGCCGATAGCAGGGGAGGAGAACAGCCATAGATGAGGTGTTCCGCCGTCACGCCGTCCGCACCCGGTACCTTGCGCAGAGGGAGGCGGCGCAACAGGTCGGCAACTTGACTCACGGTGACCGTCCGAGTGGTGGCCAGAGTGGAATAGCGTCGCGCCCTTTCTTCGACTGCAGCAGCAATCTGAGCCTGCTCAGAGTCTAGCAGGGAGGGCTCGTCCGCGTGCACCGCCTCGAAATGTCTTCCGAACTCGCTGGCAGTGCGACCACCCCCAGGAGGGAGAGGGCCGCGCCGAGAGCGCTGAACCCGTCGCCAGAAGGCGTTGGTGTTCCCATTGCGCTTGAGTTGGTGCAACAGACGGGCCTCTTGCTGCACGGGGGCTAAGGCTGCTGTGCGGCGAGCTTTCCGGTACTCTCTTCTAGCTGACTGGTAGCAGGAGTAGACCGTCGAATGAAGAGGTCGACCACAGCTGGTCCAGACATGGAGCCAGAAGCGTACTCGGTCACGTGCAGCTGCTGTGGCAGGGGTCCACCATGCTTTTGGCCGGCGCCGCTGTTTAACACAGCCTGCCTCTCTAGCGGCGGCGAGCAGGCAGCGGGATATTGTTGAGTCCAGCGCATCGAGCGAGGTGCCACAACTAGGGAGTTGAGTCACGAGCATGCCGGTAAGAATATGCTTGTAGTCTTCTAATCTGTCGACGCGGTCCCAGCAAAGTAGATCGGAATCAGGCACAGGAGTGGCCCGAGAGATGGCGCGGTGCGTCGTCTCCGTTGGAGCTGCAGTTGCCACCAACAGCCGACAGACGAGCGGCTGGTGCGGGCTGAGGTTTTCTGGATGTGGAGGCAAAATCTGGCAGCCAGCTACGCGCGGTAGCAGGGAAAACGGTACAGCGATATGGTCGATGTGACTCTTGCAGTCGGCGCGTGCGTATGTGAAATTCACCTGCTGGGGGAATAGAAATTCTGCAGCCACAAGTTCGTACTGGTCGAGCAGCTGCTGCATGGCGACACTGTGCCGAGTGAACCCTCGAAGTCGTTGCCACAGAGGCGGACGTGAAGTTGCTGGGAGACGCGGTAGTGCACAGTTGAAGTCACCGGCTACAACCACCGGAGCAGAGGGACGCAGCGCCATGATTAGAGCGTCCAGCTTGGCAATAACACTGTCGTACTCCTCCGAGTTACCGGCTTGCCCGTCCCAGTACGGCATGTAGCAGCCAATGACGGTCAGCACCGGGCGTCCATCCATCAGCACCGTTACACCGCACAGGCGGGGGTCGTCACAGCTGCAGGATTTGAAGGTCAGTCCGGGTCGGCGGCGACATACGAGAGCAAGGCCTCCGCGTCTTCTGCCCTCACCCACGCCGGGAGGCACCTCCATTGCGAATGACTGGAACACCAGTAGTTCACTGTGTCCAGCAGAAGTGAAAATTCTTGGTGCGTAAACCTCCTCCGCTCGAGACAGCCAGCTTTCTGACAATACTAATATATCGCAGAGTGGCAGAACATATTCATCGATATATTTGAACGCTGACAGCAGACCCTCGCAGTTGTAGGCACCGATGGCGATGGTCGCGTTTTCGGGCAGTTCGCGATTAGCGACGCCGCGGCTGGGGTACCGTGCCGCCGAGCCGTGGCCAGCTGTTGTCGTCTCTGGAGTCCCAGGAGGCAGGTGCGCTGCCAACGTTTCGATGCCGCGTTCGGGCATGGCCACGCGCATAGGTCCACTCGCCGTGCTCGTGAGAGTAGCCTGTAGTGGGCGCTGCGTCCCACTGAGTGCGGTTAGCGGCGGGCTGCTCGGTGGGTTGGTGCGGACCTGGATGACTGGACTGGTGCGTCGCGGCTGTGTAGTGGCTGGCTTGGACAGGAGTGGCAGGGACTCGAAATCTCCTTCGTCGCCGTCCGTTGTTATCGGCTTTAGGACGCACGCTGAGTCCCGTCGGCCATCGCGCAGAGTTCATGACGGCATCCGATCGAGACTCGGCGGTCTCGAACATGAAGGCCGCTCCTGGAGCCGACGGGCCGTCTGCAGGCAGACGGCGGAAACTGTATACGTCTCCAGCCACCGACTGTACTAGGCCACGCACGGAGCTATCAGACGCGTCGGGGCGAAAACCCCAAACAATGAACTTTTTCTTTGCCGGCTGCTGGGTCACTCCTGGGGATAAGACCAAGTCAGAGGCCGCCCCAGCGCCCGTCACAGCGGCGAGTTCAGCTGGGCGCTGATTATCCGACCTTGGCGCGTTCAGCTGCCGGCTCGCGGTGGAGCCGTGGGTAACTGTTGGCGGAGGCGGAAGGTGTGCTGGTGGGTACTGCGCCCGTCGTGTATCTGTCGCTGGCAGAACCCCAAAATCCCGTCTGGCAAAGCGCTCGTCCCCGCCCAATTCATCGTCATTTTCAGAATCAGAGTCGCCAGCTCGCCAGTGGATTCTGTCTGCGATGGCTTTACCGAGGGCAACGAGGTCAATGGCAGCGGCGATATCCTGGGCGGCCGGCGGGCTCGCCTGGCTCACCTGGGCGTCCGGTGGGCTCACCTGGGCGGTCGGTGGGCTCACCTGGGCGGTCAGTGGGCTCGCCTGGGTCGCCTGGGCGGCCGGTGGGCTCGCCTGGGTCACCTGGGCGGCCGATGGGCTCGCCTGACTGCTCACCTGGGCGGCCGGCGGGCTCGCATGGGACATCTGGGCGGCCGGCGGGCTCGCCTGGCTCACCTGGGCGGCCGGCGGATTCGCCCGCTTTACGTGTGTATTGGTAACCAGATGGTTATATGTCTCTGACCGGTTCGATGACTGGTGGTCCAGCATATCGCGCAGTAGGTCCTCCAGCTGGTCAATCCTGGCGTCCCGATCAGCACACGCACGCTGCAGGTCGTACAGCTGCTCTTCAAGCCGCTGGACTTGGACTCGCTGGGCATCGGCGGCGGCAGCACGACGACGAAGGTCCTCAAGCTCTCTGTCCATTCGTAACTGCGAATCGATTACAGAACGCAGAGAAGCCTCCACGGTGGCTGCGTTAACCAGACCTGGCGGTGGTTCGGCGGCGGAACCCGGCGGCGGCAGCGGAGGCCGGCCACCGGGCTTCAAGACGGCAGAATCGACGCGGCGAGTGAGAAGGCGCTGCGCTGCAGAGTAACCGAGCTCCCAGCAGTCGTCGGCCAGGGCGGTGACGTTACCCGCCTGGCGGTTACGCAGCGGACGCCCAGCAGTGGCTGGGATCCCTGACGTAAGGGCGCCGTGAAGCTTACCGCGCAGAGCACGCAGATCACACTCTCCCAAGCTGGCTAGAAAACATCGCACTTCCGCAGGACTGTAGCGGCCGGAGAAGATTGTCTCGCTACGGACCAGCAACTCTATCTTCTCGGCGGAAGAGGCGTCAGCTGGAAACAGCTCCTCCAGTTGCATGTGTTGACTCGGAGCGACGGGTGGCTGCTCCCGCTCCGGGCTGCTGACCGCTGCAGCTGCCATCACCAGCTCCGAGCTGCTTACCGTTGTAGCTGCCACTTCCGGCTCCGGGCTGCTGGCCGCTGTAGCTGCCACCTCCGACAAAGTATCTGATGTGTCAGCGGTGTCGTCCATGTTAGCTTCCAGTGGCCTACAATATCTGTATCCGGCCGTGATATGCCCGACTGTAGAGTACCACGCTCAGCTTGCAGAATATTCGTATAATATATTTCAAGCGGCCAGATTGCACTTCGGTATGTTTTTTAAATCTTCAGGCTGAAGGACCGATTTATAATTGTAGTATCCCAATGTCGTGGTTGGCCACGTCACAACGTCACGTTTTTCGCTGAGAACGAAATCTGGGCTCGGAGGATCAGTTGTCCTCTGGCAGCGTGGCAAACATGACGCAAATTCAGATCAATCCATGGACTCACCCTCGACTCACCTAGATCAAAAGACCTGGCATAATACCTTTCAGAAAATATTCAATTAATAAATACCACACAAGTAAAATCGTGGGGACAGGTCAATGAATGTGAGGTATATCTTCGGGCATCATTCACCCTATCGAGATAGTACATAAATGGTTATGATATTGTCTTAAGTTCGAGTCTGAAAAGATGCTACTTCCTACATCAGGCTGCTACCTACCCACCTACCTACCTACCTACAACGTACCTCAGACTGCTGGTGACCAGATCCACGCTGGAGTCCTCCAACTGAAGCTCCTCTTCATCGAAGTTGATTTTTTGCAATGAGACGTCCTCTAGGCACTGTGCGGCAGCCAGCAGAGACGAGGACATTTCGCAGGCCACCACATTCTCCACCATGTCCTGCACAGACACAGGAAAATGATGGCGAGCACAATAATTAGACAGAGTTTGGGTAGCTGCTACGACTTCATGCTAAGAAAGACTGAGATCCGGACACGTGTTCATGCCGCGGTATGCGGTGTGATATTTTTTTGTCACATAATTTTGTTTTTCGTTTGGATTTTGTTTCCTACTTGTCTTTCTTTCAAACCTTCGGTCCGGTGACACTGTAGCATTGCCACTGCGTATAAGGTGATCATTCTTTGCCAGAGAAACGTATTTTCACAAAGAAACGTATTAATGTATTTGAGGTATCTCTAAAATCGAATGCATATCATTATTAACTAGGCATAAAGAAAGCACGCACCTTGTCAAAGTGTTTGAGTACATATCCTTTTCCGCACCCAAGATCCAACACTGTGCCGAACTGGCGCTTGATGTCGAATACCCGATCTGCAACTCTCCAGCCAACCTTAAACAAACAAAAAAGATCATTCAGCACCTCAACCAGCAGCAGCATGCATCGATAAATTGAATAGGTTAGGTCATGCATTATGGATGTTTTTATTTATTGTTCATTCACTCATAGGCGTAGGAACGTTTTCGAAAGTGGGGGGGCCAGGGTCCCAGAGGTCCAAAACCTAACCTACCCCCAAAATCCGATTTCTCCTCGGATTTCGGCCACTTTGTTTTCGCAAACATGCTCAGAGGTAAAAAAAAAATCGAGACAAAAAAAGAAAAAAAAATTGGTTGAAATTTCAGGGAGTCTCCCGTCCATAAGCTCAAACTGATGGACGCGTTCCCCTGACCTCCGCAGCCGTTGGCACCCATGCAAATTCCAGAGGCATCCAGCAACTTTTTCATTACGAGCAAGCGTGAAACGTGCAAAGCGAGTCTTTTCAATATACCTATAAAAATCAGCATGAACGGCCCAGCTAGGCTCAGCCAGGCCTATAACGTTTTTAAGAGGTTTTATATCAGCGACCACTGCAACTGGGCTGATTGACTATCACTTATCAGAGGCCGGTGTGGGATTTTTAGACGGTCTGGGCCTTCAGAGGCCAGTTTAACCCTCCACGGCCCGGTCCTATAGGTTTTCTACATACGCGCTGGCCGAAGGGGCGGGCCGGCGGGTACGACCCCCTCGCCGTTTCGCCCCAGGTGGAGCTAGCGCGTCGCGGTAAAACGAGCGTGTGCGCCGTTACGGGACGCAGAGATCGATACCCGATTTTATGGTCCTAGGTCAACCGGTGACCTCTGACACCGTTCCGTGCTTCTATCCTCAGGATACTGAAATCCTTCTCCTCCACACCGCAACCCCCTCCGGGCTGGACAGGCAACTTTATCTCATGCGGGCTGCTCCCTTGGAGCGGCACCGCTGCTCCCGAGGGAGCGCACCCCGTAGCCGGGTGCAGTGAGTGCCTTGGGGCTGGGTGGCCTGTCCTCTGGACGGGCTCAGCCCCGGCGACTCACTAGGGTGCCTGCCCAGACCAATGTCTCCCCCTATATCCTATCATCCTTCCGGCTCTGAAATGGTCTCATTGGACCGAAAGGGCCTAACCCAACAAAACAAACAAAAACCGGTGACCTCTGAGGTCAGGTCAAGTGCCTCAAGGCACGGTTCCGTTTTTGGTGAATAACTTCGCAAAAAATGGCCGCAGAGCCGCGATTTTGCCAGCATCGTGTTCGCCTCTCTCAGGCGCGTCGAATGATATACTTTTTGTTTGGGTGAGGTAAACTTAGGGTGTTGACCTCGGGTCACGGTCAGGTCGGCGTCCCCAGGTCACGAAATTTGTCGAAGGAGGTCATGTCGCATATCATTCGATTCGGCAGGTCTTCTTGAGTCCATAGGTGGCTTTCCCGACTCGCTAGCTCAATTTGATCGGTACCTAGTTATTGACGAAAAACTAATAAGACCCTTATAACTTCATAAATGACGTCGCGCAAGGTCAACATTGCAAAAGTGACGCATCGAACCTTGCAAGGAGTGCATGAAATCACGATTCGGTGTGCTTGAGATAGTTGGAGATCGATCATTCCCGGCGCCAGAAAAAGTTTTCAGTTTATCCCCATTGACTTATACCTAATGGTGAGGTCACGAAAATGACCTGACCTCATATGAACTTTAGGAAAAATCCGAGATATACATTATACAAGTTGAAAGACTCCTATTGGATACTAGGTCCTCCAAGGTTCATTTCCCTGTGAAATCTCCTCTGGCAGTGAGGGCGTTGCGAAGTTGCGACATCTGAAGACCGTGCAGAGGTTCACTTATGACCACATGGGTCAGTGACCTGATCTGACCCGAAAATGCGGTTGGTGTCAAAAGATCCCGTTTGATTCAAAGGTCAGATATGCCAAGCTTCAGCTCTCTATCGCCGGCGTGTTCGGAGCTATCGCGAAAAAAAAACTATGGAGGGGCGGCACCCCCCCCCCCCCGGCTGGCGAGGGTTAAGGCCCTCAGAGACCAGTACAGGGCCTGCAAAGGGCAGGATGAGACCTTAAGATGCCGACTTGGGCCATCAGAGGCTAATGTGGGTCCTTACAGGCCAGTATGGGCCCTCAGAGGTCAGTGTGGGACCCTAAAATGCCGGCATGGGCCGGTGTTGGACCCCAGAGGCCAGCAGAAGACCCTCAAAAACCAAGATGGGCCTCAGAGGCCAGCATCGGGTCTTCAGAATCCAGTGCAAGGCCCTCAGAGACTAATGCGTGTCCTTACAGGCCAGCATGGGCCCTTAGAGGTCAGTGTGGGGCCGTAACAGACCGGCATGGGAGGGACTTGGAACCTAGAGACCAGCGGAGGGCCCTCATAGGCCAAGGTGGGCCCTCAGAGGCCGATGCGGACCGTTGGAGACCGGCATCGGATCTCCGGAATCCAGTGCGGGGCCCTTAGAGGTCAATGTGGGACCCTAAAATACCGGCATGGGCCAGTGTTGGAACCCAGAGACCAGCAGAAGGCCCTCAAAAACCAAGATGGGCCTCAGAGGCCGGCATCAGGTCTTCAGAATCCCGTGCAAGGCCTCATAGGCTAATGTGGGTCCTTACAGGTCAGCATGGGCCCTTAGAGGTCAGTGTGGGGCCCTAAAAGACCGGCATGGGCCGGCGTTGGACCCCTCAGGCCAAGGTGGACCCTCAGAGGCCGATGCGGACCCTTAGAGGCCGGCATCGGGTCTTCAGAATTCAGTGCGGGGCCCTCAAAGGCACCTAAAGGCACCCCAGAGACAGAAATGAGGCCACCAGAGGCCGGTGTGAGGCCCTCAGACGCCGGCTGGGCCCTTGAGGCCGGTTTAGGGGCCCTCAAATGAGGTCAATGTGGGTTCTCAGCGGTCAATGTGGGCGTTTGACCGCCACTGAAGGGCCCTCCGAGATCAGTGTAGGACCCTCAAAGACTGGTTTGGGAGCTGTTAATAGCTAGCGTGGGATTCTTGAGTCTCGTGACAATCGAATAAGGGCCAGAGCCCCATACGCCCATGGGGGCCCATTGGTTGTTTGGGGGGGGGGCCAAATGATATGATGGCCCCCTGATTAGCCTTTGGAGGGGGGAAGGGCATGGCCCTGATCCCCCTCTGCGACCGTCACTGCACTGAAAGTGGAAGGGGGAGGGGCAGAAACAGACATTGCTGGCCCCCAGCCTGTTTGAAACGAGGCTGAGGCACGGTCACCCTGGCCCCCAGCTAGTACGTCTTTGACGAACTATGCCGACCCCAAGCAGATAAGGTCAAGCGTTGGTCGTTTGTATACGCATTCTCCTGCACCGTGCTAGTATTGTCTTAGTATTGCTTATACCTTTTTAGTGCTCGCTGTCCCGCGCCTCGTATTCAACAAAATGCTGTCACCAGGACTCACAGTCTTGTCTCTGATATGGTTTCCTTCATTGAGTGAAGGAAATTGCGGTCAATAACGCTGTAGAAACAAAAAGGAATCCTCATTAAAGGGCAAGCTGAATAGTTGTCAAGTTACCGGGTGGTAGGTTAGGTACAGACAGACACTTAAGTCAGCAAAAAGTGGGGGGGGGCCAGTTAACATTGCTGGCCCCCCCACCTCCGAAAGTGGGGGGGCCATGGCCCCCCGGCCCCCCCTGTTCCTACGCCTATGCATTCACTTCAAAATGGGAACAGAAATTTTCTTCTGGTCTTACAAGAACCATTCACATGCAGCCTAGTTACTGAAATGACAAGGAACAGGCCAGCGAAGACCCTTTCGGTCCGGACTGGTCCAAGTTCTGGACTGGTCCTGCGGGCCCAGCTAGATAGGTAGTGGAATGTTAATTCGGCAACGTGGCATGGGACCCGTTCAATCGTGCCGATCCCTTTTGATTGAACGAGTGCAAAGGAGAGCATCGCGCCTGGTAACTTCAATCAGACACCTTCGCTACGAAGAGCGCCTACGGGAACTGAAGCTGCCTTCACTGTTCTATAGTCGGCGGCGAGACGACATGATACAAATGTACTAGCTGTTTCATGGAATTGTCGACTTAGCTCCAGAAGATTGATTTACTGCTGCCACGGACGTTCATACTCGAGGTTACTTGCATAAAGTCCAGAAGCCCAGGGCCAACACCAGACCAAGGAGAAAATGGTTCAGTGTTAGGGTCGCCAGCAATTGGAACGACTCGCCTCACGGTCGCGGCGGACGCTGCTACCATTTAGCAGTTCAAATCAAAACTGGATGCCCACTGGGCACACATCAGGTACATGAATGATACCTGACAAAAGTTAGAAATGTCAAATATTGCTAAGAGCTCAATGAGAACGGTTCCCTAAAGGTCAAGTGGTCTCAAATTCTGATCAAATTAAGGTAAGATTAGATAAGCCGGTAAATGTCAGCTCTTATTGCAGGGGGAATAATATGTGCCATATTTTGTCTTAAAATTAAATGGAAGTTTTTACCTTACCTTACCTTACCAATACGGGAATTTTGATGGCCACTATGGCCTGTAGGGTCCCGCTCGCATCGAGCTCCTGAACTGAGGACTCTCGTGGATACTAATCTGGGATGAAGTATTTGATTCGGTTCCAGTGATCGTCCAATCTGGCCTTGAACTGGTTGAGAGTGGATGCCAGGATCACAGAAGGAGGAAGCGCATTCCAGTCGTTCACAGCTCTTGTTGAAAGTGCGTGTCTTCTGACTCTTGATTGGGCCTGGGGCTTCCTCAACTTCTTGTTGTGACCTCTTGTACCAACTCCAGGGGCAGGTGTGAAGAATTTCTCAGGTTGGACATCTAAACCTCCACTGAAGATCTGGTACATGGCGATCATGTCACCCAGGTTCTCCTTCGGTAGTAGAGGGATGGCAGGCTCAGGCATTTGAGGCGCTCCTGGTATGGTAGGTGCTTGATGTCCTGAACAAGCTTTGTGGCTCTCCTCTGCACTCGCTCGATCAACTTTTGGTCGGCTCGGTTGAAGGGTCCCCATATCAGGTTGCCATACTCTAAGTGGGGTCTTACAAGTGTCTTGTACAGCAAGGGTAGGG